AAATTGATATACTTATTAGCAGCTTCACGCCATTCTGCGATTGCAATCACATTAAACGTAACGATCATTGTACGAACTACCGGAGCCTGTAAGACTAACCATTCTAATTGTCGTAAATTTCGTCTGCAAATAAAAATTTCTCAGAAATCATATTAGAAATAATTTTGCTTTTGATTTTTTTTTTGAAAAAAAAAAGAAAAAATTTAGCAACTTACACGGTACTTTTTGCTTTTGGTAAAAATGAGCAACAACAACAAAATGGTGGACTTTGAAAATCAATTGGTTTGTTGTCTAGTAGAAGTATAGCTGCAAATGTATCACGACTACCGAATAAATGCCTTATCAATGAAATAAGTATAAATAGGCATGTAAGGAAATAGAGAACACCAAGTGAGGACATCACCATTGACGTACGTGGCGATATCATACCGATATAGCAGCACATTGTTGATACCTTTAAATGATGAGAAGTAATTTTTACATAATATGAAATGCAAATGAAATTAATATCATTTACATGTATTAGATAAATTCATATTTTATAATGTAAATTTTATTAGCAAAAAAAAAAAATAATCAAAATATATTTAAACAGCTAAGTATCAAAGAAAGATTGTTTCAAATTATCTTCGAATAAAAAAAAGAGAATAAATGGCAAAACCGTATTGCTGAATTATTAAGAAAAAATAGTAAGGTTAAATTAAGGAGTAAGAATAAGTAATGTAACAAATTTTACAAATTAAGCATTTAAGACGGAAAAGTCTTAAATTTCTGCTAAATAATCAACTTTCAATTAAGATCAAGAATTTAATTGAAATTATTTACCGGAAATAATGATAGTAAAAAATAAAGTTTATTTCGTCGTTTCTCTTCAGCAACATACAACCATACATGAAACCAATGAATAGCTGCTAAAAGTAATACAACAAAGGTAAACACTGTTGCAAATAGTATGAGAATGAATTGAGCGCCTTGTACATCTGAAAATATACAATACAGATTAATTTCAATTCTCTCTCAATTTAATCATTTTCTTCTTTCAAATAATAAATAGCGCATGCGTCATACTTTCTTTAAAAAAAAAAAAAAAAAAACTAAAGTTTCTATCCATTTTCACATTATCATCCAATCTTGCACTTTTTTTTCCACTCATTTGTCACTAATATACTTTCTTCGCCTACCACTTTCACATTATCATGATATGCTTCGTGTAAATGATAAGAATTTATCAAACGTACAATATACATACGAAAAAAAAAAACTACAGCTATATAGCAATCTTCATCAATATAATTAACAGTCATTGCCGAAAATTACTGATAACTACGGATTAGTACTTCATGAGTGATTAGCATGAGTTTAGCTAAAATGAATAAAATAGATGAAAGACATCGCTATTAAATTATTTCGATTAATTCGCTTGCTAATAAAAAAATCGAAAAATATAAAATTCAAAACTAAAAAAAAAAAATAATTGGTGCTGAAAGAAGTAGACAGAGATCAAACTTACTTTTAATAAAGAAATATGCCGAGGGCTGATCTGATAACGATGTACAATTCTTCTGATCAATGTTAGGCCACTCTACTACTTCCAGTATTTTCTTCGTTAGCTCATCGATTTTCATATTGAATTTTATTGCATTCAATCTTCAAAAAGCGGTAAATGATCATTTTGAATCTTTCATTTTTTTTCCATAAAACTTGAAACACTAAAGATATGAATTAAGCATTAGAAATATAGATTGTTAATAAGAAATCATCATAAAAATATAACAGTCAAACGGGAAAAACGTTCGCATATTTTGTTTTCAGGAAGTAATATTGAAAAGAATTGAATGATTCATAATCAGAATTGCAATGATATCAATTTTACCGCAAAGATCATAAAAAAAGATAAATAAAAAATCAATGATACATACGTAGAGCTTTTAGAATATAATCCTGATATCAATTAAATACATCAAATATTAATAAATATATTATTAACTAAAAGATGTCAAGAGTAATACTTAAAGGATCATGTTTTAATTGATATCGAAATTATATTCTAAAAGCTCTACATATATATCATATTTGTTTTACTTGTCATTTCATTTTTTATACTTTCCAATTGCCAATCAATACCAGTAAAGTGATTTCATTAGTAATAAAATGTTAAAAAAAAGAAAAAGTGCAAAATTAAATTATTTCATCGTTTTCTTTTTTCGGAAAGATGAATGAAGGAAAGGAGGAAAACCCTTTAGCACACTTTACATTGAAATATTTATTTTTTAATGATGGCGCTGATGAAGTAACAATACTTCAGTCCATTCCACGTTTACTCTAACATGACAGCACTAACTATACCAAAGAAAAATTGTCAAAAAAGCTAATTGTTAGAATCGAAAAAGCAAAATGTTACAGTAACAATGATAAGGATGATAACCTCTCTGTAAAACCAATGAGTAAATAATTTTGGGTTGTATAGGATGGAAAATGATAATGCTGAAAGAGGAGACAAGAGGAAATGTGATAATTTGAGAGATTATGAAGAATAATCGATTATAGAATTAATGGCTATTATTGTTGTGATAAGGATAAAATTAGATATCATATTGTTCGTAGTAGCCATTGAGAGTAAACGGAAAGATCTTGCAAAACAGAAGAGATTACAGAGATTGATAAGAAGTAGCGAAAAATTACCGATTGAGAGTGAGCAAGTGAAAATTGCTCTTCGTTGAGAGTTGTGAGGGAAGAAAGAAAAAACAATGTAAGCGGAACGAATTAAGCAGTAAACTTGATATTGTAAAATTTTAAGATGAAATAAATCGCCCAAATAACAGCATTATCATATCCTTCCTTCATTTATATCCTCATTTTCTTTTAATGTTTTTTATCCGAAACAATCGATTAAATTTAAATAATAAGCAAAAAAAAAAGAATGATTAAAGGTCAAATTAGATCGGTTGATTACAGTTTATAATATTAAAACAAATAAACAATTGAAGCTGTAAACGGAACATTTCACCTCTCTCACCTCACTCATTCTCTCTAAAATATCAATAAACTTCGACAATTCGAGAAGACAGATCGATTCCCTCTACCATTCTCCACACTTTCCCTGCTGCTTAAACTCACCCATAATCGATCTCTAATGAAAAGCCTGCTTAATATATATACATATACATGTATATATGTATGAGTGTTTGTATATGTGTGTATATATATATATATATGTGTGTGTGTGTGTGTGTGTGTGTGTATGTGCAATGATGTCCGCTTGCATGCAGAATGCATGTTTCGTTACATGTCTTCTTTTTTTAACTGACGAGAAGAAAGGATATGCGGTGATGAATGTTTGTTGTGAAATGAAAGGAATTGAGAAGAGGAGGGAAAACGGATTAGATGAATTTATTTCATACTTCATTATGTGCTCTCTCTCTCTCTCTCTCTGCTCCCCTTTCCTTTCCTTCCTCTCTCTTTCATTCTCCCTTTATCAATATTTTAAATTTTAGTAAATTTATAATTAAAATATTGAAAATTTTGGTCAAGTAAATGTGGCAAATGTGACAGGTTAACATATTGTAGAGCAGTTGTGTGTGTGTATGTATGTATGTATGTGTGTATGTATGTGTGTATAATTTTTTTATCACAAGTACTCAAACTTTTTTGATAATTTCAATTACCAAACTATTACTGTTTCCTGATTGAGAAAGATTTTACTGATAAATATCGGAAGAAATAATTAACGATATTAGCAAATTAATTAAAAAAACACCAAGCGGCTATTTCCAATTACAATTTAAAAAATTAATATCATCAATTTTAGAAAACATTAGATTGACATGGTGATAAAAATAAGGCGCAAATGTAAGTCAGAATAATAATAAAAGCGGAATAAAAATAGATTGAAGCCGAACTGAGAAATAGCCATAAGCACCATTATTATGGATTGATTTGTTCAGATAAGCAATGAACAAAAACAGTAATAAATTTTTTTCAAAAATTGCTAATACAATTCAAACAATCGATTGATTAATTATGGCGCAACATCGATCATACCGATAAACTGTCAGTGATATTTCATAATTCAATAATTACAAATGATTTCGTATTGCATATTATAGTTAACATGAAAAAAAAGCAAAAAAAAAGAAAAATAAAACAGTAGTCATTTGTTTATCAGTCTTTGAATGCAAAATGAAATTTTTTTTTTTGTTGAACTGAAATCAACAAGTAAACCGAATTTAAATTAATAATTTGATAAAAATCATAATTTAAATTAATAGTTTGATAAATGATGTACTTTGCCTAAATGTTTTTGCTAACAAAATGCGCAATTGTCATATGTTGCCAAATGTTTATGCTCCTTATAAAGCCATGACATGAAAATAGCTGTGTGCAAAATGAACAAAACAATATATTAAAAGAAAAATTTCCAATATAATTGAAGAGTTTTTTTTTTTTTTTTTAAAAAAGAAGAAAAAAACGTGAACAGTTAAAAATTCGTAAATAAAAGAAAAATAGAAAAAATAAGTTGAAGATCGTACACTTAGAGAAAGATAGTAATAAATGAACCGTTTAAAAGTTATGAATTTTCTTTCGTTTTTTTTTTTTTTTATTTGAACAATATTTGAGACAAAAGAAGTTTAAATAAACAATAGACAGGTAGTAGCTTTCCTTTAATTTTCACATTTGATTTAGTAATTAAAGTTTATAGTTCAAATCTATTAGGTAATTTCTGGAGTCAATAATTTGAAACAATTCTCATATTGAATAATTTTTTTCTTCAAATAATCATTATGCATAAATGTTCTGAGTTCGATTTTGAAATTTTGAAAGTTTGAAACAAAAATCTTGAAATTTCAAAATATAGGAAATGTTGGATGATATATAAATTAATTTGTAATAAATACATCTAAATTCTTTTTTTATGAAAATGAGAGGATAATTGAGAAAATAAAAAATTAAATAAACAGAAACGTATATTCTAACATTTCTGATTTAAAGAAAAACAAATTAATCGTTTAGCTGATTTGATAATTTATTTAAATTTCAATAAAGAAATTTTTCAATAAATGAAGGTATACATTGTTCTTTTCTATCCATCAATAAATTTTACATTATAAACAGTCTAAAGCTGTCAAAATGATCAAGTAATTTTAGCGAACCATTCCGATTTTGTACGATCACATTCCGCATCTTCCATTACGACTTGCATATTAGGATATAATAGGAAATAGAATAAACAAAATGATATAAATGCTATCATAAAGATCATCTGTAAAATGTACAATTATCATTGAAATATTAAATTTAGCAACAATAAATTGCCAAATTTTACTTTCTTAAAAAATGTCAGCAATTTCTGAGAAACATTAAAAAGTTCGTTTAATTTGAAAATTTATTTCTGATTATATTCAAATAAAAATAAAGCAAACAAAAATAAAATAAAATAGACAGCTAAAATATTGTTTATCTATCACTAGAATTTTTAAAAGTTTTCAAGACTATTGCTAATTTTCAATTAAAATCTTCATTATCATTGAAAAATTTAAAAAAGAAAATCTGGAATTCGATTATTTTCTCTTGTTCTAACTAAAAATTTTCACCAACTATTAAATATGCTAATTATTTTAGCACTCGTTTTTTTTTAAAAAAAAAAAATTTTTCAATAATAGTAAAGTTTTTGAATGCGGTGATAAAGATCTACTGTTGTAAAATTGACACATTTATTATTTATTGATAGCATAAATTGGAAATGAAACAAAAAGGTAATTCAAACCTGCGATATCCAATGAAACATTTCTATTGACTTTTTTGATAATCCACAATTATTCAATAAATTTTTTAATGTAAAACATCGTAGTTCTTCTCGTCTTTCCAAATAATAATCAAATTCGATTGGATCATTTATTGAAATTGATGTATGCAAATTAGATAAATGACACGATCTACAAATCAACGAGATAATTCCTCGGGAATTTCATTATAGTGTAATTTGAGACCTATGGTTTTTCTCGAAGTGTATGACAAATTTGTTAGATTAGCAATTCACAAAATTATTGCTATGATAAATTATTTTTTTTTAACATCAAACTATTTGTGAATGCTATTCAGTACCTTCTCTGTAAAGATGATAAATCAAAATCGATGCAAGCTGTTCGAGATGATGCGATAGCAATGCTACCAGGCTCATTAAATGTGTTATCATTTGTGGCCACATTAACCTTTGCTAACATTGATTGAATTGTTGAAGATCGCTTTCTACATTTATTTTCAATCATTGTTACATTTTTGAATTTTCCACTGCTGTATATGTTGCATCTGACAGATGAGGTATAAATTGGTTGATAATTAAATTTGATAATAATTTTGTGCACTTAAATTACTGCAATTATTTTTATGCACTTAAATCGATATGATTATTTTGTTCATTTTAATCATTGATAATATCAAAGTTACAGATAAAATTTAAAGCAACAAAATTGAAATGAAGAGAAAATCTTCAAAAATCACTTGTCTTTACTAAGCCTTTGTCGCATAAATTTCACAAAAGCAATCTTAATCAATGATAAAAATACAGCCATGAAGCATACACCTGAAAGTAATTTACTTCATTATAAAAATTAAAAAATGCAAAATTCATTAACAAAATATACACAAATTGAAGTATAACACCACAGACGTTAGTAAAATCTCAATAAACAGCACTAATAAGTTCAAAAAGCAAAAATTTCGACAAAAATGTCTGAAAAAAAAAAATTGAAACAACAAACCAAGATAAATATCCATAGCTTTAATATAGCTTACACGGGGCATCATTTCATTGTATGAAAAAATTAAGAATGTTATTGCCAGTATAATTGAAACCATATCCTAAAATTTATTTTTATTTAATTTCAATATAAAACTTGCAAATTTGATCCATTTTATTAATTTAATCTAAAGTTTATTAAGGAATAAAAAAATTTTGAAATATGCTTACTTTATAGTTGAAACAAAGTTAAGACTATCAGTATTTATCATCCAAAAAAAAAAAAAGTTTGCCTGAAATTCAGTTTCACTTTCCATCCATAATGAAACCCATGAAGTGATAACGACTGCTGTGGATGGAACAACCAACTGTATCAGACAAAATCCCGAAGAACGATCAAATACAAAACATATATAAAGTCTGCTATAATTCCCTGAAATAATTCATTTCACTAAAACAAAACTTTTTTTTTTTATCATAATTAATAAAATAAACTTATGAATATAGCACTTTTGAATGCAAAATTATAAAATTTTCTGAGTTTAAATTAAAAATTTACAAACTACGAACTTATTCTCAGAAACTTGAATAATTAAAATGAGAGTATAATTAAGCTAACCTGTAGCATAATTTTCAGTAACACTCGTTACATAAGCTTCTTTAATCTGAAAATCCGGTAATCGGATTTTATGTAGCAGTAGCGGTGCTTTGTCATCTTTTGACCAGGAATACCGGACACGATCTGCTGTATATCCATCTGCAAAATAATTTTAAGTTTCTATTCAACAATTCAATACAACAAACAATTATTCACCAAATTGACTAATGACATCCATATAACCTCAACGGTTTCACTTTTTTTTTTTTCATTTCCATTAAATTTCATTTATTTAAAAAAAAAATGTAAGATTCATTGTTTTCGTTGAATTTTACTTGTTTTTTTTTTCTTCATATATGTGTTTTCTGTTGACATGGCATCTCTCAGTATTTTTTTTTGTTGCACAACAAATAGCACTAAGATTAAAGATCACTAAGATTAAAGATCAAGTCGAAACTAACAACTTTCGATGCCAAGTTTGCATAATTGTGAGTCAAATGGAAAAAGTGTAAGGTCCATTGGACATTCGGCAACAATGGAAATTCGTCGGCTATAAAGAATTGTGCCATCTTCGCTCAACCTAAAAGTTATACGATGAGGAGGAGGAGGAGAAGGAGGAGGTTATCATCAGATGGAATAATATCCAGTCGGCAGAAAAAATTTTATTCCAAAAACATTCCAAAAAGGATAGGATTGATAAGCTTAAATATGATCGTAAATAAGAAGGATGTATCTCCTGCATAACCTAATCATTTATCTTACTTCTTATCACATGCTACAGATACTCACTTAAACTTCTCCATTTAAGATCTCATTTTCTCTTCATTTCTTAATTGTGCAACCCATTTTATTCTGTGAAATGTCAAATGATTAGGTGATAAATTTAACCTTAACAAAGAGCGATGTGAAATTGAATGCTGTTGTGGATTCTTAGAAGCGATTGCATTTGGCATGAATGTATCCGGATGCCACAAGAAATTAATATAACTTTCATGTAATGATATTTTTCGTTCTTTAAAATAATTATGATAACGCAATCGTTGATCCAACCATGATTCGCGATAAAACAATTCAAGAACATAATCCTTAATTAACTTATCGATAAATGTGAAATATTGTTTAATCGAAAAATTTGACATGATAGTTTTTTGAAAGGAGAAAGAATTGAAAATTTTTATAAAGCAACTTTTTATTTCACATTCAAATATTGGGCCAAAAATAAATGATAATCATTAGTTTTAACTGATATGAAATAGATGAAAGAAAAAAGAAATTTAAACAAATAAACAATTTGAATTCTTCACACCATGGTAACTTCCGAAACAGCTCGTATATTACTAACAACAATTGATACATTGATTATAACTGCTTCTGCAAAAATTTATTTAGAGAAATTATTCAATCAAAATTTTGTTGAAAATTTTTTGAAAAAAAGAGAAAAAATATCAAATCATTTCATAAAGAGATTTGATAATTGAAATTTGTAAAATATTTGTTTTGAAAATGTTATTTAATTAAAATAAAAATAAATTGAATTGAAAGAATGCAAATTAGTCTAATCCTAATCAAATGGATTATCAAACCTCCGTTATCATTTTCCGGTTCTTTCCGATGGTCGTAATCGGTGCGAATTAGAAAATGCAATAAATCGCTCGTTTGGCTGCAATTTTTCTTTTTTTTTTTTTTTTTTTAAATTTCTAGTCGTTAGGAAGAAAGTGAAAAATAAAAACCTATTTAAATCTCTTGTTGGAATTAAAAACATTTTTGTTAGAAGTCATTGCTACTTTTCAAAGCTGATAATCAAAAAGAAAAGTTTAAGAAAAAAAAAACAGAATTTCTTTCATGAAAGCAAAAAAAAATAAAGCTAGAAAATTAAAAATTAATCCTATCAATGCACGCGAAAATTTTTTTTTATTGCAAATTATGATTGCACAAATTTTTTAACAAATGAAAAACACTAAAAATTATTAATGATATAGAAGTCATTTTCAAGAAAAGTCAATTATTTAAGACATTTTTCTAGGGAATATTAATGCAAGCGCAATAAATGAACAGTTAACATATTTTGCTACAAAATTTCTTTAAATGAAGTTGCACTACAATCTAACACGCACTGCATGCATGTTTTTGAGGTATATATTAGAGAGAATAATGAAAATTGCTAAGTCAAAAAGAGGTAAATAACATTTTGCATATAATATCTTTGCTAATGAAAATAATAAAATGAAATGATTGTAGAAAAAGCTGAGGAAAATTCAATAAATCAAACAATATGATGCAATAAAATTTGTCATTTATGCTGCAAATTTATTTGATAGGAACAAAATCAAATATTATATAAAATAGAAAATAAAATGTAAATCAGTTTGAAAGAGTTATACTTTTCATTAATATTCTTTCGATAATATGTAGACCATTGCCCTATGGAATCATCATCGGTCATGG